GTGGATGCTTTAATATGCTTATTAATTTGCTCAAAAATGAGCTATGGTGCATTATGGGGATTTTCCCCCCTTGCAATGAAAGATTGTGTTCCCTGCTAATAGGTATCTGAGAAAATGAAAACCCAATTCTGTGACCAGTACTGAAGAGTGAAACTGGTAGTAGTTCCTCTAAAGAGTTAGACTGTGCTAGAAGGCAGACCTGGGGCCATCCTCTTTCTTTACCTACTTACCTCTCCAGATGATCTCATCTGGACCCAGGACTTTTAATACCATCTACCTTCTGTTCACTCCTTTGTCATTGGTCGGGGTCTAGGAAGGAAACTAGAGCCCATGCTGGGTAATGCAATAGAAGGAATTCAGTCCAGGGAATTAGTTATGAAGATGTTGGAAAAGCCACAAGGGCAAACTGGGGAAGGCAAGATAACCCAGAGAACAGCAATGGCAGGAAGCCACTACCCTCCCTAAGGCTGGGGAGACAAAGCGGGGAAGTGGGTTTCATGAGAGTTTAAGAACAGTGGGAGCTGCGAATTTGAAGGAGAGTTGGTCCAGTGGGAATTCAAACCATTGAACAGGTACATCAGTGCTAGAGATGCTGCCCAAAGTTGAGAGAGGGGAAAGTACTCCAGCTTTTCCCTTCCTCCTGACCTCTAGTCTTCTGCAACCTTACTAGTCTAGTCTTAGTAGTCTTAGAGTAGGCTTTCTTAGAAGCCAGTTGGCGAGGAAGCTTGGGAAGCATCGTTTGCATGGGGCATCCCTTTCGCTGCCCTCCAACTTCCATACAGAGCAGAGCAGGGAAAAGGAAATGAGTGTGTCGACAGACCGGTGATGGACACTATTCCTAAATCACTATCTCCAGCTACCTCTTCTGTGATTCCTACATTCAGTAAGTTGTTCATCTGACATCTGCACTTTAGTGTCTAATATTTCCAACTTAACGTGGCCCAAAAGGAACTCTTATCAGTCAACTCCCCGATATTCCCCTTTTCAGAAAGTGACTCACTCAGCTTAGTCAAAAACGTCGATGTCATCTTTGATCCCTTTCTTTCCTTACTGCCTACTCCTTACAACCTTTTAGCAAGACCTGTGGATTCTGCCTCCCCAAACAATTCCTCTCCACTCTTCTCTATCTCCACCATTACCACCTTAGGCCAAGCCACCATCATTTCTCCTCTAGGTAACAATAATGATCCCCTAAGCGGCCATGCTACCCCCCCCCCCAACTTGTCTCCTTATATAATGCATTGTCCAGGGGTCAGGTCCTAAAGATCTTGAGGGCAGGTATAAGGAGTCAGGAGCCACTGAAGAGGAGTGACATGAAATAATTTCTATCATAAAGAGATCAGCCTGGCTTCATCGTGGGAATAAAATGTAAGTGAACAAAAGTGGAGGAAGGAAGACCAGTAAGGAAGCAATTACGCTTCTCAGCTATTGTCATCCTTCCTTTTCTACCATGGGCAACCAAGGTCAAACACTGGCCTTGTCACAGTTCTTCCAACATGCCAAGCTCCTTCCCTGTTTAGGGCTTCCCACAGCCTGGAAGGCTTGTCTTGATTTTAGCACAACTGGCTCCACATCCTTCAGGCCTCACCCTCTCAGAGATCTTTCCTGACCAGGCTGTATGTAGTTGAGTGTAGCTGTTCCCAAGTGCGCCATCGCTCTCCCTACCAGCACAAGGAGGCTCGCACCTCTCTGCACACTGGAAGTCAGGTGTGGCCACGTGACTTGCTCTGGCAAATGACGTGTGGGTGGAAAGTAAGATATGTTACTACTGTGTAGAAGCCTTAGAGCCACTGTTTGCTTACCATGATTTTCCTTCTTTCACAGTGACCAGCAGTGTTCCAGGTAACAGGTACTCCACTGACCAGAGACTGGGGCTGAGGACGACAATTCTTCACAGCAGAACTCTGCCAACCGACGGACACGTGGCATGAGTAAGACATAAATCCTTTGCTGGTGCGAGTTGCTGAGATTGTGAGGTTGTTACCGCAGCGTACCTAGCCTAGCTGGGCCCATAGTCCTTCAGTCTCTTACATCATCCCGCATGATATCCATCATGGAAATTCCTACCAACTGGCAATTCCTACTTGCTAGTTTTGTTTCAGAGTCTACGCACCCCTCTCCAAACCCCATGAGAGCAGGAGCTCTCTCTAGCTCATCACTATACCCCCAGCTTCTAGAAGAGTGCCCGGTGCATACTCAGTAGGCAAGTATCTGCTGATTAAACCTCCGATGCCTTGCACATACATTTGTTGCTTGAATGCTACTTTGCCAAGGCGACTAGAATAAATGAATCTTGTGCTCATACATCAGAAAGACCAAAGCTTATAGCTTCACTCCATTTGTGCATTAGAATTATTGCTTGGGTCACATATACCCTTCCAGCTAATTCACAGGAAACCAAGTTGCTCCCAAAGCCACCGGGATTCCTTGGTCAGAAAAATCCTTGCCAGAAATCATATGCAACAGATAAACAAAAAGGAATGAAATCTTAGAATGATAAATCTAAGAGTGAATTTGCCCAAAATTAGGAGACAGAGTGGGACAAAATTCATTTTGATATTTTTACCTCTAGGTAGCACAGTTTTTCATTCTTTTTAAAGCTTCCCATGCCAGGGCACCTGGGTGGCTCAGTCGGTTAAGTGTCTGCCTTTGGCTCAGGTCATGATTTCAGGGTCCTAGATCAGGCTTCCTGCTCAGTGGGGAGTTTGCTTCTCCATCTGCCTTTACCTCTGGCATGTGCTCTCTCTCTCAAATAAATAAAATCTTTAAAAAATAAAAAAATAAAGTTTTCCATGCCTGCTCAAGCAGATTTCCCAGAAATAGCCAGATCTCAACTTTCACTATTGTAATAAAATATCAGCACTGAAAATACCTTCGTGGTTACTCAATTCAGACTACATTTATCATCTGGCTTGGTTAATTTTAATTGAAAACTTCTTCAGGTCTCACTGATGTCTGCCAGAGGTTTAGAACTTTAGAAATTCAAGTCAGAGATTATGTTGCTTAAAGTCATTGCCTTTTAAAACCAAATGTATTAAAAAATTTTTTCTACCATCCATTACATAATTATAATAAAGTTGTAAAGATGATTGTTGTCATAAAACTCACCCTGCAATATTTTTAGGTTTTATATTTTTGCTCCTCACTTAAAAACTTTCCCTAAGTTTTCAAAATCTCTAGGACACTGAAGAAGTAAGCTCCTAAAAACCATGAAGTTTTTTTTTACTGCCCCTGTTTTTGCAGGACCCAGCACCCTTTGCAGGACATTCAAGTTCCTTCGGGAAACCAGAGTAAGGTAATTATATTTAGCGTAGTCTCCTAGACCCTATACAAAGAGACTATACCTTCAGTAAGCAAGAATCTTTTGTCTACTTTGCAGAAAGGATTCTACTTTGCAGAAAGGACCATTTCACCAACCATTCAATCCGAAACTATCAACTTTTAATGTGAGTAAGATGGCAATTTCTGCTATCTTGTCCAACCTAAATTCAATTTCATTAACCAGGTCCTAATCCCGAAATTCAGGTACTATGCACCTGCAGCTAAAACTTAAAAACGCCACACCATGAGCTCATCCCACTTTCCCCATCCACTGAAAATGGGGCAGTTTGAATACTGCAAGTCTTTCAAACACAACGCCATATTCACGCAAAGGAAATCATTTACATGTGGTTAAGGAAACAGTAAATTTTCACATTGGCTTTAATGTTTATATTTTACCAAAATTTTCCTGAACTCGGTAATCATTACTAATACTTCTTGTAGTACTAGTTACTGCATCTTAAAAACAAAAAACAAAAACTAAGCAGAAAACATACAGTTGAAGAAAACTGGATGTCAGTCTATACAATGATTTTTTTTTTTTACTTTCAGCATGACACTTTATTTTGGCACTTTAACAAATATTTTGCTTTACAGCAGTGACAAAATATTTGCCAGAAACTTTCTTTTCTTGGCATGGATATTCCAAGCAGTTAATTCTATGAACTTAATTTCACTATGCTTTCCACAGTTAGAGGTATACCCACTACATTCTTAACCTCTGTAATCGAGGGATATTGTGCAACTTTAGAAGATGCTAGAACTTCCTTTTAATCACCCCAAAGTGGATTGACTCTGTAAGTGATGGGACAGGAATTTGAGAATTAAGGCCATTAAGAATTTAAGTAAACACTGTTCCGAGTGCTGCTTAAATTTTTTTTTTTTAATGAGTTATGTGACAATTCCAGGGAACGTTCTCTAAATGAAGTATTCATACTTTATTAAAAGTACATTATGTATTGAAAGGGTTGCTGTTTTTGCGGTCTTCTTCCTACTTTGGTGGCTCACACATTAAAACAAAATTTATGGTGGAAACAGAAAAGGCAATGTTGTTAGAAGGAAATACCCAGGCAGGGTACCCTCAGACTTCCATCTCCTCCTCAGGCACTCCTGCTTTCCAGCAATTTCAATCCTCAGCAGTGGGGCCCTCCTTTTAGTGCACGGGGCCACCCTGCCCTGCTTTCCTTCCCTACAGTGTGAACTATGGCATTCCACCTATTGGTTCTTCAGTGAAGCTTCAGGAGAGATTTGGAGCAGAGTTTCCAAGGTACATCAGTCTTCATTCGGTCTACAGGACAAAACCTTAGATACTGACATCAGGAAAATCCCCTTCAGTTCTTTGGAATTTAGCCTCCCAAGAGTTATTTGCAAAAGCAGGCATCCCTCTCAATGTTGCCATCAGCTAGCCTACAAAGGTTGCCAACGTCACAATTCCCTCCCTGGCAGTCTTCCAATGTCTACCCCCAAACACAGGCAGGAGGATACATTCAGATTTCCTCTGGCCAATTCAGAAGTGAGTCTGGTAATAAACAGCTTCATCGATGAGCTCTTTGGTTTTGATTTACAGACACTACGGAACACTCAGAAATCAAACCCACATCATCCTCAAGAGCAGATGGTCATTTGCAAAGGGGAGATGTACATTTGATCGAAAATGTACAAAATTTATAACAGTGACATTTTCAATATTAGGCCACATGATTTATTCAGTAGTTTTTATGTTCCCAAATTACAGTTGATGTCTATTTGTAAGACTACAAAAGTTACCATTAGAATTGTCTGTGCTTATAAAATACCAACTTTTTTTTTAAACTGTTATTAACATCAGTCTGCAACGAGTTACATAGAATCATAGGCACTTCAAAGGCTTAAAAAGACGTTTACAACTTAAATGCATTTTTAAGAACAAAAACTGATTTTTCCTTAAACCCCTACTCGTACCTTCAAATTGCAAGAAATTAACAAATACAGTGGCCAAAGGAATCTGCAGCAACTTCTCAAAATACTGTTAGCATCTTTGGGTTTGCTGAGGCTTGTCAGTAACTCACATCAAATCCTCCCAAAAGAAGATCTGATTAGATAGCTATGACTGAACAGTTTTGTGGTAATAATCCAATTTTACACATTAATTTGCTGTTGCAAATCTGCCTGAAGCTACAGGTGATGAAAAACAAAGCAAGTGTAAAATGGATAGTCTGACACTTAAAAATTTATACAAAGTGGAGGTTAAAGTTTACATATTTGAAAATCACATATACACTAAATTACCATTATCTGAATTATCCAAAGACAAATTGCACCATAACAGCTACAAAAAGGCATAGAGTTTTGTTTTCAAGGGGACAAGAGGGACGAGCAGAGGAGAGGGAACAACAGATAAATTAACAAAGTAAGACCAACTTGGTAAGGTCAATCGGAGACATGCGGACACAAATTAAACAGCTTTCATCTCTGAACCATAGGATAAAAACAATCATTTTGTATTTGCGCATAAAGTTTAAGCCGATTCCATGAACACAGAGGGTTTTCATAACATAATATTTTGCCACTGCTATTCACAGAACACTGCAGATGTTATTTTAATTTTATGTCGTTCTAAAGAAATACATGAAAAGTTTTAAATACAATGGGATTTTATCACTGAAGGGCCAGAATGGCTCTTCAATGAAAAAAAAACAAAAAACAAAGATCTTCATTATTCTATGCAAAAGCTTTATTTTTAAAAGTTCAGTGATCTCATAAATAGAGACACTAAGTGGGAGTTTCATGCATAAAACTCCTTAGTAGGTGCCTTCTGATAAGCAGCACTGGATGGTTTGCGTTCTCCAAGGTCGTAACTTCCTTCATCCTTCTTTCTCATGCGATACACCAACAGCAGGATAAGGAAAATTGCAAAGAGAAAGCCAATAACTCCGCCAGCAATGACAGCTGAAACACGCCAAAAGGAAGATTACTTTCAGGAGAGATTCAAGGACTGCAGAAATTAACTTTGTCGAGCCCCATCTATTTACACCTTTATAAAAGGCTCCATTTGAAAAACCCCCAAACACTTAAAAACTGGATTCGATGAGGCAACCAGGTAATTACCCAAATCTGACATTCCCGAGGAAGGTACAGTACTTTCTTTGATTAGAATTAATAATATCAGTCAAAAGCCTCAATAAGAAAAATCTGGCTGGGGCCTCACCTAATTCCTTACTTTAAAATTCTTTAGTTTTCTCACAATTCATAGTCTAATCTTCTAATTGCTTTTTCAGTGAAGGCACAAAACACGATAGAAGTGACAAGTTTTGTAAGGGTAAATATGAAAAAAAGCAAACAAATGTCCTTTCTAGTCTTGGCTTTGGGACTATCCTTTCAAGGACTAAGTGTTCTTAAATCGTTCTTAAAATCAAATGGTGACTGCTTTCATCAGATAAGTTACAATGAGAGACAGCATCCTTAATGCCTTGGGCGTTATTTGCATCAACTGCCCTCCCCCCATAAAGGACTTTTCCTTCTCAAGTTTATTTTGATATCAGGATGACTTGGAGCTGGATGAATTGAGCTTCACATCCCACCATACCCCCCCCACACCCAGTTGTTCTGAACCAACTCAGATCCTAACTTTCCTCTTCTTGTACCAAGTGGTAGGATGAGGGAGTGGAGAGAAAATAAAGAACATTTGCCTAACTCTTGTCTCTCACTCTGGAATGAGACAGGCTCTCATTCTTCCTGCTCTCGGCAGGAAGGTGACATTCAGCAAGCTTGGCCTGTATCTCTGAATATCACTTAGCCAAGCAAGGTCTATTTAAGGACCCTCCCACCAGGCCCCCTCTGGGCTACTCACCTGCCAGGACTTCTGTTCGTTTAAACAGATTGTCTGAGTGCTTCTCAGTATACACATTTGTATCGTCTTCAGCTGGGTCCATTTTCCTTTCTGAGTCAGAGAGATGAACTTTTTCCTTATCAATTTCTTCAGGTGACTGATAAGGGAAAAGATTATAAAGATCTTTTTTAATGTGCTAGAAAGAAGAGAAAACAGAAGTATATTCCAAGGTTTATTGTTTTCCAACAATGAGTTTGGGAAATAATTATGGTGAAGTTTACACCAAGGGGCGAGGCCTAGGATGGAGCCACGTTGTCCATGGTTTTGTAGAATACCATCATAGGTAGAGGCAAGGTGGCTGCTTAGTGAGTTCATGATAATCCAGATGACATGGTTAGGTTGTTTTAGTTGATACTTCATAAGCTCTGTTTTCTCACCACTCCTCTGACTTCAGGCTCTAGCTCTTTCTGGCTCCACCAACCCAAGAACATGGTCCCAATTCTCCTTACTCCGTCAGCTCTTTGCTACACGGGGCACTGTGATGGCAGCTTCCTTTCAGGCCTTCTCTCCAGGTGATCTCCAAGGGCTCTTCCTGCTACCAACTCTGGGGAGTAGCCCTCCAGACTTAGTCAGCAATGCTCCCCTCTCCCTACTCACTCTTACAACTTCAACGAACCCTGAACTAGAACTTCAGGGGTCTGGGCTCTCTACGCAGCTCCTGTGTGACCATGACCGAGTCATACTACTTTCCTGCACCTTGGTGTCTACCTCCGTTTAACGAAGGGCATTCTGAGGTTCTTGGGTTTTCCACAATTCTAAAGCACAAATCCAAGGTGGTAACTCTCAGAAGCTCATCTCCGGTGAGCATTAACCCCAACCACACATTATTATGACAAACCTCATGAATTCCCCTCAGATTTTTTGAGTCTCTATAATCATTTGTGAGACCTGACACAATTCCCTCTGACTTACCTTCTGATCTGCATTTCAGGGGTCTGTGGGTGTGGGGACAGGAGGTCTCCACAGAGCTGGGGCCACCATGCACTAATAGGGACAGTCCATCAGTGCACAAGCTTCCAGGTGCTCTGGATGGAACATTCATTATTTACATTGAAACGCTTTCTTGTATAGAAGCAGGGGTTTGACTAAGGAGAATTATTTCTACAGTATGGAGCTAATCTGAAATACCTCAACCCTTGTATATATGTGCAAAATGAAATTACAAAAAGGCACCATAGATGATTAAATGAAGTCATTTAAAGATCTGTCACATCCACGTATGGTTGTTTGGATGCCTTGGATATGTATCGGAAGTAAAAGATTGTGAGCAGTGCTCTGCTTCAACCAACAACTGTGTTCTTTTTATTTTTGTCACATAAATTTACAACAAACTAGATGGGATTCTGTGACAGGGACACTAATACCACTGAGAGACCCATTCGAAAGCAGTCTACATTAAAGATAGCCTAGAGGCAACGTTTAATTTAGTTGTACCACCATGTAACTATAAGATAGAAAATTAAATCACTTATTAATAATATTCACTATCAATATTATCATTATCAGTACCTAGAATAATGTTTGACACATGATGAGTAGCATTTAATAAACCTCTCATGAAGAGATGAATGAGGACTCCATTGAATACAAATGATACTAGGAATATAAATATGTTAAAATGTTTGGGGATTATTAATTTCTGAGCTCATCTGCCAAACATTTATCTTCTTTATCTAGATCTGACACAATCACTTCCTTGAAGCCAATTTTTAAAAAATTTAAATCAAGTTTCAATCCATTCCTATCGACTGACCAGAACTCTACTCTCAAATTAGGTTTTGCTTAGGATACAACTCTTTACCATTGAAAGCCAAAATGGAGTTTCCTGCCTCAAGCTAGCGGGTCCTGATGGTCACCGACTTCGAGAGATTCAGTCACGACAAGCAGTCAAATAAAACTGTGGTAACGCCAGATGCATCTTTCAACAGCCACACTGGGTAACTGGCACACACACTCTGAGGACCCTCTCCCCATCCTCACATCATGACGCACACCAGTTACTTCTCACTTCTCCCCTTCTCCCATCCTTCTTCCATACATTCAACTTCATACGTTTATGGAGCAGCTACCATGCATGGAGCCCCCACATGCTAGGTACGTCTGCCTCAGGGTTCAGAGACCTTCTCCTTTTTTCCGATCACCTGGCCCGGGAAGTCAGTCTGCCACCCCAGTAACTGCCCCATCTTAATCCTGCAGAGCGCACTCCAGGCTGGAGAGGATTGAACATGGCCCTTCTGCATCTGCAGAAATGTATCCAGCTCTGCCCTGCCTCTCCTTTCACATGCTCTGGGGGCACCTTGGGGCTGGGAGGGAAAACAAATGCACTTTGACAAGGGGAGGAAAACAAAGCATGGGAAGCCCCCATGTGTTCCTAGCTGCAGGGGGGCACCTCTTCCTCCAGGGAAGACCTGGCACTATGGACAGGAGGCGGCCTTCCGCATCCTGTCTCCTACAAAAGCTTGGCAGCATCTTACTTCTGACCAACAGATGGGTGAGCTCTCAAAGGGGACACCTGCATTTCTAGGTTTTCATAAGCAGCTTGCTACCCCAGGACCACGGACAACGTCTCCAACTGCAGTTACACACGCTCATTTGGTGAATTGCCTTGGGCTCTACGGCTCTAACCAAATTCACTGGAGGCTTAGAGAATGCTTCCTGAGTCTCAGGTGCCATGCTATATGCACCCACATTTCTTCTTCTCAAGGACCCACGAGGAACGGCTCAGAGAAGCTAAGAAATTTGACCAGATAAAGGATTTAAAGCCTAGGCCTTCTTCAGACTTTTTTTTTTTTAAGATTTTATTTATTTGGGATGGTGTGCGCAAGGGAGAGCGTATGGAGCAGGGGGAGGGGCAGAGGAAGAGGGACAAGCAGACTCCATGACGAGCATGGAGCTTGATGTGGGGCTCGATCCCAGGGAGAGATCATGACCTGAGCCAAAATCATTAGCCAGACACCTAACGCACTGAGCCACCCAGATGCCCCTTCTACAGACTTTCATATGCATTTTCCAACTTAAATAGCTTACCCGGTAGCGAGTGGTCAACTATTTACAATATAATAATTGTAAGGCCAAAACCACCAGTCTCATAGTTTTCACTAGCTAGTAGTTTTGCTGTGTTCTAAATCCAAAGACCTTATTTCTTAATAACTCAGCTCTCAAAATGACTATATTGGGATGTAACCACGTGCATCATTATCACTGTAAGAGGCCAAAGTCTGTAGGCCACTGATGATAGGCCTGAGAAAACGTTCAGAAATAATGAGACAGGTACCTGGAGTGTCCTTATTCCATTACCTGTTCCAGCATGTGTAAAGTTCACAATGGTTTTAACTCAGAACAAATTCTTTATGAAATGAAAACAAATTTTCTTGGCTGAAGCCCAAATAAACAGAAAATGTCTTGCTTCTTAACTGGGCTGTGAGCTCCTTAGAGAAGGAGCATCCTATGAATGATACCCGTATAGAAGCTAGGTCTGGGTGATAAAAGTAGTAGGAAGAATGACCTACCGAGCTAGGAAGAGACGTGGAGGAACCTTACATGAATATCGCTCAGAGAAAAAAGCCAATCTCAAAAGGCTACATACTGTATGGTTCTAATTGTATGACATTCTGGAAAAGCCAAACTATGAGGACAGTAAAAAGATCAGTACTTGCTGGGGGTGGGGGGCGGGAGAGATGAGTAGGCAGCACACGGAGGGCTTTTAGGGCAATGGAAATACTCTGTACGAGGCTACAATGGCAGATCCATGTCATCGTACATTTGTCAGAACCCACAGGATGTACAACACCATGAGTGAGCCCTAAGGGGAACTATGGACTCCGGGTAATAATAACATGTCAGCGTAGCTTCACTGGTTGTAACAAACGTACCACTCTGGTGCGGATGCTGACAGAGGGGAGGCTGTGCACGTGTGGGAGCAGGGGCCCTATGGGAGCTCTCTGGACTTCCCCCTCAGTTTTGCCATGAACCTAAAACTGCTCTGAAAAACAGTCTATTTAACAACAAAAAAGTAGCAGGTGGGTAAATGTCAAAACGATCAAAAGAGTAAGGAACAGCCATTTACCGCAATATAATGAGAAGACCATGTGTCCTCACATCATTTTTGAAGGGGGCTTCTCAAAAGGAACAATCTGGGCAATTTTAAAAAGCATTTACGAGGACCCGCCAACGCGATGCAAAACAAACACACCTTCGTCTGAGCAGGTGTCTTGTTCTGTGTCTTCAGTGTCGTGGTTTCCACTTTTGGAACAACACCAGTGAACCCTATCTTTGGAAGTGGTCGGGCTGTTGTCAGCTCTGGGCTCTCGATGTCCTCATCAGCTCCTGCGGGAAAAAAACAAGCGAAGGTGAGCTGAGCACGGGAATCCCAACACAGGTTTCTCTATGAGCAGAGGGCGCTGTGCGGGGTGGCCGCTGACCAGGCCAGGGGCTTTCAAACTACCTGCTCCCCAAGAACCCCACACTGACCTTCCCGCAGTTTGCACACGATGAGGGGATTTCAGAGTGGATCTGTGGGCAGCCTGGCATTTTCTGTAACATTATCCTCAATGCTCTCAAGGACCCTTGCTTTCACTTCCATGCTCAAATCTCTCCTGCTCACAAGATTTCTGCCTTTCCTACGCTGAAACATGCTACACTTCCCACTTTAAAACACGACACAACGACAAGAAAGGCAGACTCTCCCACAGCAGACCCTTTCTTCTCTGAGGGGATCTGCTGCCCCCTCTCTCCTCTCTTTTATAGCCAGATTTTTCCAGTGGCCTGGTAGGTCCTCACCAGCAATCCACTCTGCTGGCCTCCCTCTAGTCAGATTTCCCCTGTCATCATGCTATCGGTGACGTTAGTTAATGAGGTCACCAATGTCCTCCACACTGCCATATCCAGAGGCATTTTCCTGAGTGGTCGTCATCTAATGGAACCTCCTCGCACCACCGGACACTGGTTAATGATCATCTCCTTCTTCATATACTATCTTTGGGCTTCTAACACTTTGACTTCCCAGTTTTCCCCCTCACCTCTTGGGCTACTTCTAAGTCTCCTTTGCAGGCTCATTCTCTTTCCACCTGGATGCAAAAATATCAGAGTTCCTTAAGGTTCTGCCCTAGGCTGCTTCTTATTCTACCTTCGCTCCCTCACCTACACTCCTGGCTTCAATTACCATCTAAATACAAATGAAACCTATATTTATATCATTAGCTTAACCACTCCTCTGAAATTGAGACCTACATATCCACTGGCTGGCTTGACATTCTCACTCAAAGGACTCAAAGGTACTATGCACCTCTCACATGTTCAAAACAGAGCTCACGATCTCCCTCCCCGTCCACCTATAAACCTGGTTGTCGTCCTGTGTTACCTGGCAGTGAACAGAACCTTCCATTCCTATAAATCACAACCCTGACTTCTTCCTTACCCCCACCTTGAATCCATCACCGCAGTTCTGATTTTACTTTAACAGGTCTTCGCTCTAACACTTTTCCACAGTTCCAGGGCCACCAGCCTCATCCAGGCCACCGTAATCTGTCCACAAGCCACCGGACCTGCCTTCTTCCTGAGAGCCCCCTCTCAGTTCACTGCCCACAAACCGGCTGTGACCCCATCATCCTACTATTTAAAACCATTACAATGGTACCCCACTGCTCCTGAGATAAATAGAAAATGTCTCAGCCCAGCCCTGCATGGTCCAGCCCTGAACCACCGTTCCAGCTTCCTTGAGCATCATTTTCCCCTCTCATCTGTCCCCTGATGTCCTGCCAGAAGCCCTCACCTGGCTAATTCCTAATTCACCTCCAGACCTCAGCACAACGATTTGCAAATTGCACTCATCTCATCCTCCCTTCCATATTATGTCAGAGTCCTCTGTTAAATGGCTTTTTAGTACTACCTTTCTTCGCCTAAGTTACATTTACCACAGATTTGTAATCGTGTTTATTTGTAGGCTATTGACTGAATGAAGTCCCCTCCCCACCCCCACCCCCGCCACACACGGGACTAGAAACTCCGTAAGGCTCCGGCCTCTCTGAGTGCCTAACAGACTCCCCAGCACATACAGGCTCTGATCCAGTGTTTGTTCAAAGAGTGACTAACCGCCAACTGCCACCTGGGCACTGTTTTGTTTTGTTTTTGCCTTTTGACCGGAATAGCATTTGAGAATTTCTGACATTCAAATACGACATTCTTTTTAAGGTGATCATTTGTCAACTGTGTAACAACTCAAATAAACTCAAAACTCTGTACCTCAAACTAACCCGCTTCCTCAGACAGGAACGAGTAATGAATACCTCCAAGTTCCTCACAGAAGCCCGGTCACGTAACAAGCAGTTCAGAAGAGGTAACGTGCTGGAGACAGGGCAAGAGCCCTTGTTTCTGTTTAATGTCACATTTTAAAATATTTTATTCTATCAGCTATCTCCTTTAACTTGAGCACATACACTCATCATACGGGGAAGAAATCGTAGGGTAAATCGTGAAATAAATATGGGATTTGGCATTAAAAATAAACCTAGTACTGGTTCTGGCATATTTAGCTGTGTGACCTTGGGCGAGGAATGCTTGAAACTTAGAGTCTTCACGTGTAAAACGGTGATATTAATTCTTCGAGGTCTGCATGTGATAGATATTAGAAAGCACGGTACACACAAAACAGTATATGTAAATATGTCACGAATAATGATGGCTCCAGAAACACACTGCTCTTTTATATCAGCCCACCTGATTTTCTATCAAAGTCTTACATATAATATGCTTGATTTATTCCTACAATGAATCATTTCCTTACAAAAGATTTCTGCCAATGCCAAATGAAAATTTTCCATTAAGGGCTTTCAAGACCCCCTTCGTTCATACCAGTTACAAATATGAATCACCGAAGTAGGGGGATCTGTTGTGAGAAAGGGGAGATTTTTGTAAGGTCAAAAATTCCCTCAAGCTAGACTTCTTCCATCAGAGACAGGGGAGTGATCTGCCTCGGGTGGTTCTTCTACTGTATCTGTCATCATCTTTATTCAAATAGATGGTCCCCCCCTTGCCCAAACCAGAGACCTGGGAGCCCCCTGGATCACATCTCTGGCATCCCTGACTTGTGAGCTTCTCATTGTTTCCCCTGGCCTGAGACATCCCACCCCGGAGCCTTTTTCCACCTACTGCTCACACCATCTTGCTCAGGATCAACGTCATCCCCTCTCTCCACTACAAGACTATCTGCTTCCCAGCCTTCAAAACATCATGGCTTTGGTCTCCTCTACTGTTTTAGGTGTCCTTGTGAGTTTAAGAACAATTCCTTTATTGACAGCTTAGTTGGGCATTGGAAAATATGTGTGTTCCATCTACCATTTTTAACCAGAACTCTACGTTTCACTCTCAAATTTTTGTTGTACAGCGCTTTACCATATTATGTCACTCATGACATGGTGGTACGATTATTTTTTCTCATTTCTGCATTTCTCTGTCTCTTGGTTCTTCGAAGACAGGGACCAAGCCCTTCTCATCTCTCTGCCCTAAGAACATGGCGTGATGTGTGGCATTCAGTGAATGCCTGGAGTGTTCATATTCATTAATGTCCATTCTTGAGTCCACACAAACAGCATGGCCCCATCTCCTCACCTGGGAAGCACCCTCTAGGCCCCTGGCCGTTTTCCTCTGGTCCATTTGCTTTTCCACTAGGTAGCTAAGATAGGAGTGAGGACAGAGGGAACACTGGCCAAAACCCTGGGAATCCCAGTTTCCAGCTGGGACCGGGCATCAGCTAGGCAGGGCACCCTAATCCTAGAGTGACATATTATGACACAGGAGGCAGGTCAACAAAGGAGCAAAAGGGAACACACTCTCAAGTCCAACTCCCCAGCCCTCGCCCCAGCTCTATTACTCTCCGACAGTATGGTCTGAGGCAAGTTACTCAATCTCTCCGTGCCTTGGACTTTCCCATGCGAAAATTGGAGATGGTAACAATCTGTCCTTATAGAGATGTTGGAGGTATAGAACAGTGCCTGCCACACTGTATGGGCTTTACGAATTCCAGTTACAGCTTCTACTACCTTTAAGCTGTAAATCGATATACCTTTAAGCAGTGCCAGGGGGTCTCCAAAGTCTAGAAGGATGCACTTCTTTGCAGCAATGCTCTGCCCAGGGCTGGAGCCAAGGCAAAAGCAATGTGGATCCACACTGAAAGCTTAGTTCTATCTATCTGATTAGTGTGCTCTGGATTTCAAATGACCCACTGCAAACTCCTTTCACCTGCATGGGTACAGAGAAGCAGGACTATGTACCTGCTTTCTTTATATTGAACTTCAGGATAATCTTGGCATAACTCAGGAAAATGACTTGGACAACGTCTATAGATCTAACGACTCTTGGATTCTAAGATCTACGAAATGGGAAGAAAAGGGGTCCATATTCATTATCTCTTGGGACACTGTGAAGATAGTTACAAAGCACTTTTGAGGTGCTAAAGGAAAAAAAAAGAGGTGCCATGAGTGAAAGATATTAATAGTGTTGTGGGCTATGGAGAACAACTCTTTCCACACTCATTTGGCATGTGTGGTATATATCACTTCCCCAAGAATAACTAGGGCTATTTTTACATTCAAGTTGCACTGTAAGCTCATTGTTACTAGGTCAGCCACCATTGCTCTCGTCTTTCTCAGACTTGCTGTTTTCCAACTTAAAACACTCACTCCTCTACAGGTAGACCTCGACAATTGATTTTGGTCTGTTCTGGGTCATTCTGAAGCCTGGGCCAGTCTGATTTCAGACATCTATGTTCAGCATAACTTTGACCATCTGTTGAATCTACAGTGAAAACTCCAAGCAAGAAAGGTCCTGGATAAGACTTTCCTAGCATACTGCTGACCACAAATTCCTGACTTGATTATTCGCTCAATATATGCACAAGTTCTTCTTCCTTTCCAGCTTCTTGGGGGGCCATTCCTGGTGAAACATTTTCCGCATATGGTAGTTTGCAAAACTGCCAGAATCCTTTACTCCCCCTGCCTTGTATCCACATCCTCTGTAATGTGACTGTGCACATCCTTTCATTCAGACTTGGAGGCTGGGCTGGCCTAGGACCTGCTTTTGACTAGTAAAATGTGGTAGGGATGCTGTGCCAATTCTCAGCCTAGCATGCAAGAGGCTTTGCACACTTCTACTTGCTCTCTTGGGATCTCTATATCCTCCTGTCAACAAATGGCAGGCCCACTGGAGAAGGAGAGGCTGAGTAGACCAGAGCCAAGTTTGCCCCAGAGCTGGGACAGAGCCCAACCAAAATCAATAAAGCTGCCCAGACTCTAGCTGACCAAGGACACACGAGGGGGTCCAGTTAGCCCAGCCTAAATTGCCATCCTGCAGAATAATGAGCTAATGAAGGACTGTTGATTTTAGCCACTACGTTTTGGGCTGGTTTGTCATGGGGCAGCATTACTGAGATCATAGGTTACAGATATAAGAGGGGAGTGAGGATATCACTGTATCATCATTTTGCTTGGCTGATACATTCTCCCTCCTACTCTTGAGTAAGAAGGCACAACTCTTTTTGCTTCCACCCATAATCTAGAACATAGGGTTGGTGGCTTCATCAGACTGGTGTCTGAGGGATTTCTTTCAGGGTGGCTTCCCACTTTTATCACTCTGAAAGCCTTCATAATAAAATTAAAACCAATGTTGAGCCAACACTGACTGCTTGCCAAGCACCAAACTCTAAGAGCTATAGATGTGTTAACCCCTTGGAGCTTTACAACAACGTAGGTGATAGAGATTATTATTACTTTCCATTTTATGAAGGAAGAAACAGAGACTCAGCCAAGTCAAACACATTCCCAAGATCTCACAGCTTAGGTGGCGGAGAGCTAGAATGTGCATCCAGGCATTCTGACTCCAAAGGTGTGTCCTTAACCACTGTGCATCCTGCCTGTCTCCTTGAAATAAGCTCCAGTGGGGTGTGTGTGTGTGTGTGTGTGTGTGTGTGCAAGCATGGAGAACAGAGGCGCTCACGGAGGTAGATGGCCTTACCCGAGCCTGAGGCAGAAGCATAGTCATCATCATCAATAGGATACACTCCCGAAGCTTCTTCAATGGAGCTATTGTCGAGGTACATGTCTTTATCAGACGTCAGCTCTGCTCTCTGAGAAAAGAACAAGAAAGGGTTCAGAATGGTGAGAGATTAAGAAACCTGCTCATTTAGCTTACTGTTCAGGTTTACCCCAAGGTGACTACTCCTCTTTCCTCCAGTCCTTTGAACCCACATTTCTGGCCCTCCCCTTCCTCAGGACATCCTGCTAATGTGGATTAAGTCACAGGCTGACCATAGGCAAAACCCCCGCCTCCCAAGGGAAGCCTCAGTAGCCTAATCCAAGAGAACGGAACAGCTCAGAGACCTAAGCACCTCTCAGGGGCTTATTTCATTATATTCCACTGAGCCTGTCTGAGTTTTGGTGGTCTCAGTGCTAGTTAGTTATAAGCCAGCTCAGGCATTTCCTCTGTCACAAAGTCATTGTGAGGCTCCCTTACTGGAGAACTACCAAACACTCAGATTATTTAAGACTTTCTTGGGGATGAATACAACGGTTTTACCACACTTAGGCCAGATCATCACCCAGGGAGCCATCAAGGCCCACCAAACGTCTGCAGGCCTGGCCACGCTCAGAGCTTTGTCACTGTGGCCGAGAGCTCCCCAGATGTCCGGGCAGCCCGGACCCGTGCAGACGCCAGGAAGGGAGGGCGCCCTGCAGGCAGCAATCCCCAGGGGGCTCCTCCGACAAGAGCCAAAGCCCACCCCGAGCCCGCTTCTAGGGTTCACTGGCTTAGCAGAGCCATAATGACAAATACAGATAAAGCCACATGAGCACATTCTTTTCATATTATTGGCACTTGGAACCAGCAAATCACACACTTCACATGGAGAGGGATCATTCGCGAAGTACACCGGCTCCACAGCTTCTTTGCTCTTCAGTAAGCGTTTTTGTATTAAAATTCAACCTCATCCTGGCCGTAAGAGTAACTCACATGAATTGGAGGCAGAGTAGATGCATCGTTTTTTTTATAAAATGGTCTTAATAAATTGGTATTTTCCCACGAGTATCTCAGGAAAACCCAGAAACAAAAGCAGACGGTCAGATCAAACAACGCTTGTGTTTGGAAATAGGCAACACTCATATTGTCCTATTTTTAAATATTAAATTGAATGTTTGCTCCTAAGAGGAATTATAAAAAATGTTTCCCTTACTACTCTGGCTCTCGTTAGATTTCCTCTTAAAATAAGACTCTGTGTTCCAGCGGTCGCCGTGACTGGAACCTTCCTAGGAGGACAGATGGGGTCCAGCCCTCCTAACAGCACTACTTTATTCTCTCGGGGTTTCAGCGGCTGCCTGGAGAAGCTGGAGCCTCGTAAACCTGAGCCCATGTTCTCCACCGGGCCTCAGCGCCCACCGACAGAAAAGTATGCGAACTCCTTTTTCTGTTGAGCTTGCCATACCAGCGCGTTGAGCACTGAAACCCTCGGGGCTGGTTTTCCAGTGGGCTGGCTGGCCGGCATCGAGTGACCACCCTGAGCCAAGAGCGTGGTGGCATTTTTCTGCTAGACTGGTCAGAGCTGACCTCTGCACTCGGAGGCCATCCTGCATCATCCTGGTTTCCAAGGCCGTAATTCCCAAAGCTTGTAAACCATGTCAGGATGGTCGCTCAGCTCTACCATCAACTTAACTGACCCCTAGCTGACTCTCTACTGCTCTGAGAGCAAGGACTGTACCTCACATCTCTTTAATCCACCCCAGCTCCCCGCAATCACAGTAGGGGGTGCGTATATATAGTAGGTGCTCAGTAAATGCTGCTTGGGCTGTTGGGGCTCACGCTGTAAAGCAATTTTCCGTCCGGCTTATGTTAACCTCTGTCCTGTGACTGTCATCTGGAGCACCCCCTCATTCTTTCTCTCAAATCCTGCCTATGAAACAGGCTCTGACCACCCCAGTCCCTGGATGTAGTCGTACACTGCGATTTTGGATTTTATAGCCTATGAACAGTTTAAGCCCTAAACTCTTACTGTTATTTTTCATTGTTTCATGTATACTTTCTTTTGCCCCTCCGCTGAGTACAACTTGCTGAAGGCAGCATGCTTCCTGCCTCTCTCAAAATGCATGCGTACTCAATAAATATTTGTCAACTGAGATTACCTAAAACAAATTGGCCTTTGACTCAGGTTTCAGAGTTAACACCTCTCACGGGACCTCCAGGATTCCTACAGTTAAAATCTCTCCATTCTAAGCCTGGGAGATTGTCGGCCCCAGACCTCCCATGCGCGTTGCATCACATCTCCTTAAGTAACCTAGAGTCTGAAACCTAAGTCAAAGTATCTTTTAACATATTAGAAACCTATTTGTCTTTTCTTAATATTGATTCCATTTTCCTCTTGACTCTGTCCAAAAAGTTGGAGGTGGCATGGTAACACGAAGATATTTAATTCCTACGGGTTAACTGAATTTCTGTTCATTAGGTGAGCCAGTTGTCATCTGTCACAACAGACAGGCAGAGGGGCCAAAAAACATCTCCCAGGGAATTCTGGCCACCTCACAGTTCAGCCACACTGGGTCGCCTGACAGGCAACTGACTTCCCCACGACAACCCTCCGAGGAAGCTGTCCCGCCTGAGCTGCTACAGGACTTGGGGTAGAAGCGTGGGCGCGTCTGGAGAAGCTGGTTTGCCCTCGGCCCCTTGGGGTCTACAGGGCTCCAGTATGGTTGTGGGGCGGACGAGATGTTTCACAGGCTGGAGGACCACTAGGTATTCGGCTCCTCCATCCTCCAGTGTCGTGCAAATGACTGTGACATCAAACCCACAGTCATCTCCTGCTCTGATGTCAGGGGCACCAAGCACAGAGGAGGAATTACCAAAATCGTTCCACAGAGTCCAATTTAATAACAAGCAGGGCCCTTTTCACTCTGTAGCAGATAATGCTCAAAGAAAAACTCCATTGTCTTTCCTTTAAACAACAACAACAACAAAAACCTTTCCAAACACGACAAGTGCCTTTTGTGGAGACTCCGCACTCCAGGCTGAGAGAATTTCTGCACTCAACATATGCCTGGAGAGCGAAATGGAGTTGCATAAACACTCCCCTGGGGCAAGATGTGCATCTCTCGAACACCATGGAAAGGGGTGACTCAAGACGACTGCTTACTGCTTTTACACCTAGCCACATGTGGGCTGCCTCGCTAAGCAGAGCGCCGGGACTCGCCCTGAGCCCCCTCCTGCTCAGTGAGGCAGAGCCACTGGACTAAGGGAACGGTGGCAGGGCCCAGCAGCACGGAGCGGCAGGCCGACCGGGGCATTTCACAACGACGTGGTTTAGTGTGGGGCTGACCACTTCTGTGAGGCTGGGCCAATCCTGTTAGCTAACAGGGCTCAGAGTACGAGCTGGAAGAAAAACAGAGTTGGTCTTTCAGACCTTCTCCCCCTTGGCTGATGCAAGACGTGAACACCGGAGAGCAAACGGAAGCTGTGGAAAGCCACTAGGCACGGTGAGGAGGAAAAGCTACTGCAAACCACAGAGGCTGATGCTTGCCGCCATCTTTGGCCGCGGAACCTGCAACCTTTTCCTTGCAGGCAGTTCCTCCCAGAGAACGCACCACTGACTCAGTTTTGTATCCCCACAATGCCCAAAGGCAGGCAAGGTACATACCTGCTTCTACCCTAACTCCCTCCCTCCTTCTCCAGCCCCCGAGCTGCGGCAGCCTCATCATACTGGGCCTGGGCCACTAACTACTGAGGCCTCCTTACTTGGCCGCTGGCTAAGTCTTTGTGTTTGACTACACTCTGCGGAGGGACCATCCTTAAATGTCACCGTATCACTCCCAGCTAAAAACCTTTTATTGGTTCTCTGTCACCTACAGGATGATATAAAAACTCCTTAGCTTGGAAAGAAGGGCTTTCACCATATGGTCTCACCGGCACTTGCGGTGTCGGCTGCCGTGCCTTCCTCTACCCAACCCCGGGCTCCCCGACAAACTCAAGAGACCTGGTCACACTGATTTCCTTTATGTAAGACTGCTACGAGGAAACAAACTCCTTTAAGGATGGAAAATTGAGGAGAGCCATGGTGATCTAGGCCTTACATGCCTGAGGATGATGAAAACCAGTATTCTGAGAGAATGATTTAGCCCAAACTCATATGGTATCTGTAATATAAATGAACAGAGAAATGTTAATTTGACGCATAAAAGACCAGTGCCCAGATCTTGGTTTTAGTAATATCACCAACCTGTCTATTTGTGAGACAGCAACTGAACAAATCTACGTATTGGACTTTCTCACGTAGATAAAGCCTACCTTGAACAAATATTATGTTTCAAACTGCCAGTGTGGAAATCAGTTATTTAGAAATCTGAGGTCTTCCTTGAAAGATACACTGCCTTATCTACTAGATGAATGTCCTCTAACTCTCTTAAACTAGCACAAGCGATAAACAGTGGTCAAGATAATTAAAGCTCAAAGCAGTAAGTGTTAAATTCACTTTACGGTTGCAACTCAGGTTAATAACAAAGTCAGAAAGTAGAAAATCTAACTATTTATGGACACCAGACATACCTGCAACTGATCTTCAGAAAATTAGCCTTTGGATATAAAAATAAAATATTCATGTGGCCTAATATTACATTCTGTATCACATCACAGAAAACAAACACCTAGATGATGTTCTTAGTTTTAGGATAAAGGCACATCTAGTCCTGATTTGGACTCAAATGTCTATTAATTTTTAGGGTGATTACAAAGTGCCAGACTGGTTGTAACTTTAGCTTATCTTTCCAGAGGTGACTTAATTAACTCTTTTGTTACTAGCTAACATACACTGTAAATGAATAATAATAACCTAAAATTTTCTCCCATACCGTCATTCAGAGATGATACATATGTCCTTCAGATGAACTTGACAATTCTGGCTTAGGTAAAGCCCAAAGGAACATTAATCTTAAGAGCTTGGCTGGACATTATAGGCATCAAGATCACCTATTTATTTCAAAAGTGAAGAAACAGAGCAAAGTAGCTTTAAAATCATCCAGTCTAGTTGGTGCTCAAACTTGAGCCCAAGACTCTAGACACTTAATTCTGGGCTCTTTCTGTTACAATGTAATT